GACCTCCTGCCCAGACCCCCCCCACTCCTGCACCTCGCCTTCTCCCTTTTGTGTGGCCCCCGACTGATTGTTTTGTGGGTCAGTGGCCCCCAACCCAAAAAGGTTCCTCACCCCTGCCTAGTCCCATCTCCCAGTACCAACTGGTGCAGAGCCACATGTGCCCGTGGTCTGGTGACTGGGAGCCCGAGTGTGACAGTGAGGACACGCCTGTCGGTGGGCGCTGACACTGTCTGTATTGAGGGGACCGCACGGCACACACAGGTTGATCGCCCAGAGACAGCCCCTGCCAGGGCTGTTCCAAGGCTCCTGTCCGGACTCAGGGGGATGCCCACGGAACGCTCCTGCGGGATCCAACGCGCCTTCCTCCGTGCCCAGGACAATCGCCCTGCTCCTTGGGGCTCCTCCGGCCCCCTGCCACGACCTGCACGCCCTGCAAATCACTCCGGTCACGCCAGCTGGGGGCAGCGTGCCGGCGGCGTCATCCCTTTGCAAGATAAAAACCCAGAGACCAAACCCTGAGCCTCTCACACCAGCATCTGCCGGAGCGGGCGCCCTGCCCACCGCCTCCTCGCGCCTGGCTGCTTTGCCCCCGGCCTCGGCCCCACGTCACCATGTTGTGCCGCCCCTCCAGAAGGGACCCCGCCCTGAGGGAGGCCTCTGGGTGCCCCGGTACGAGAAATCTTGCTGAGAACGGGGAGGCACGTGCTGAGCAGCGCAGCTGTTAGTGGGGCACGTCACGCACCCCCAGTCACGTTCCCAGCCCCCCCTGCAAGGCTCGGGCCGGAGGGAGAACTATGGACAGTCAGCGTGCGCCTAGCTCAGGGATGGGCAATCATTTTTGGTGGGGGGGGGTACTCCAAGATTTTGGAAAGTGGTCAAGGGCCGCACTTCTCTGTGAAGGAGGTGTGGGGTCTAGGGTGCAGAAGGGTACACGGGGGAAGGGACTGGGGTGCAGGAGACGGTGTGAGGTCTGAGGGAGTTTGGGTGAAGGAGGGGTTGTGATCTGGGGCAGGGGAATGGGGGGCAGGGTCTGGGAGGGTGCTTGGGTGCAGGAGAGGATTCTGGCCTGGGAGAGGGATGTGGGTGGGAGTTGTGACCTGGTGTCTCCCGTGCCCCTAGCCTGTCTCTGGCATCACTGCCGGAGAGATGGGCTGGGCGTGAGCCCTGCCCCAGAAGGGGAAGATCCGAACTCAAGGGGGCAGCTTTTTGGGGTTGGGAGGAGGCGGCTGCTGTGACTGCCCCCCCCCCCCCCCGCCACGGCAC